CTTGAGTGTGGCTCTTCCACAAAATACCATGGCACAGGCAAGTCTATTTTGAAGAAGTGGCATTAGAAGAAGTTTAAGTTTAAAAAAATTGGCTCTCAAAAGAAATTGCAATCATTGTACTGTTGATATTTGGCTCTGTTGACTAATGAGATGCCGACCACTGGGTTAGGGGGTGATCAGGCTGGCAGGCAGAAGCAGTTAGGGGCAATCAGGAAGACAGGCAGGCAAGCAACTGGGAGCCAGCAGTCCTGGATTGTGAGAGGGATGTCCCAGATTGGAGAGGGTGCAGGCTGGGCTGATGGACAGTACCCCTCCCCGTGCATGGTTTTCGTGTACCGGGCCTCTAGTATATAAAATAAATGTATATAACCATCCAAAGCCAGGGGGGTTGCATGTCTGCTGTCCTTCAAAGCAGTGCTCATTGTTACCAATGACCTAGTTAACTAAAACTCAGTAACAAAATAATCAAACACTTGATTTTAAGACTTGAGGATCATTTAAGTACAGACTGAGAAGACAGGAAAATATTCCAGGGAGAACAAGTTATCCTTTAAATCCTGCCCCCACGTCCCACCCCTGCAGCCATGCGGCTGCTTTAGAAGAGGCTCACCCGGACGCTGGTACGGTCTGGAGTTCTGGAGGTCCTTATCTGGAAGGTCCCTCCCTGTGCATAGTGCCCAGGGCAGTGGCAGGACAGAATGCATCCCAAGATCCATGTGCACAGGCATCTGGACCATGTAGCCCAGGTTTAGCCATGGCTTCTATGTGAGGGAGGTTCATCACACCTGCACAGCCTTCTGTCAACTGCAAGGGACACACAGCCACATGCCTGGACAGGCCCTCCCACTCTAAACAATCACTGCCACAGACAGCATGGGTCTATGCTAGATAGGTGACCACATTCAACGTGTCAAGAGCTCTGACAGCTGTTTGGGGATTTCAGAGGGACCACAGCAGAGCAGGGGGTGGTGGGGGTTGCATGTCTGCTGTCCTTCAAAGCAGTGCTCATTGTTACCAATGACCTAGTTAACTAAAATTGCAGACAGGAAAATCATGAATGGTTATTTAAAAAATTTGGCACTTTTGTAATTCAGCTTTCATTTCATCGTGGTAGTTTTGGAAGTAGACAGTGGGAACTGGAAGCCAGAGACTCGCCTTCCAGTGGTGGTGGTTGAGACCAGGGAAGGAGCAACCTGCCTGGGTCTATGGGCCAACAGGACAGGACAGGAACAGCGCCAGGTCCCTGATTCCTAATGCAGGGCTCATCCTAGGGCACACGTCCTCTTATTAAAATGTCAATGGTGTGTGGATGTCAGAAGTTACTAAGCGCTTTTTCTCAGTTAAATAGAATAGTTTAACATTTAGAAATGACATAGGATATAATGTAAGGAACATCCTATATAATAAAAGGGTAATATGCAAATCGATTGAATGGCAGAATGACCAGTCACTATGATGTGCACCAGGGGGCAGACACTCAATGCAGGAGCTGCCCCCTGGTGGTCAGTGTGCTCCCACAGGGGGAGCACAGCTCAGCCAGAAGCCAGGATCATGGCTGGTGAGCACAGTGGTGGTGGCAGGAGTGGGCCTAAGCCATCAGTCGGACATCCCCTAGGGGCTCCCAGACTATGAGAGGGCACAGGCCGGGCTGAGGGACCCGCCCCTGATTGCACGAATTCCATGCACCAAGCCTCTAGTTTACTAATAATTTACAATTAAAGTAACAGATATGAAATGAGTGGCCCAGCTCACTGGTATCAAATATACTGGTATCAAATCCATTATAAAAACACACACACACACAACATCGTAACCGCACCTCCTCCTCTAATTAATAAATGAAATTAACAGTCTGGAGAAGGTTCAGAAGGCACAGGATAAGAAGACAACCTGAAGAGGTATTCAAGTCTGAAATTATCCCACCACTCCTCACTCAAAAAATCCTCAGTGACTCCAAGCTGCTTACAGGACACACTTCTGACTCCTTGCCTGGCAGGAAAGTTCCATTGTCTGTGCCACACCCCTTGCAGGTCATCCCTGCCTATCTACCCTGGAGGGTCCCCTAGCCCAGCCGCACTGTGGCCCTCTTCATTGGAAATGACAAGGACATCAGCTCAAGTCTCCTGGCGTTGCTGTCTTCAGTCCTGGGGCTCACACAGCGTCTTCCCTGCAATCCATCAGGGTGGGAGCCTGCCCCAAACCTCCCTTGATAAACCAAAATACCAGACTCGTGCCAGCTTCTCGTTTGGTTCTTTCCTGGTGAAAGAGGGAGGCAGGAAGAAGAAAGACCAAACGCAGGACAAGACAGAGGAGTTGATAGGTTCAGAAGTTACAAAGAAAATGCCATGAAACCGAGATGCCCTCAGAGGAAGCCAAATGTGGTTTGGTTTTGTCATCTCCAAATGCTGCATCAAACATATGGCAGTGACAGACTGAAATAAAGAGCCACCGTCCTGAGGCAGGGGAAGTTGGCCCATCCCACATTAGACAGGAATCAGAGCACTCTGCCAAGCCCGCCCCAGCCAAACCACGCTCTCCAGCCCCAACTGGGGTCCTCTTGCAGTGACGCAGCCACGGCCACCGCAAGGAGCTGCCGCCCCAGGAAGTCAGGCGCACCATCTCTCAGCACCAACTGCAGTTTAAGTCACCAAGACCCATTTCACATGACTCTAATAGCATTTGTAGCAGAAACCACAGCTGAATTGAGGATACGTGTGCATTTTTTTCTCCCCAGAAATTTAACTCATTCCTCCATATGCTTGAGTTTCATCACACAGTGAGATCTCCTCTCTAAATAAGGAAACATGAGATTAACCTCTAAAGGATCATCTCTTGAAACTAGGCTCTCCCTGCAGGAGGGAGAGTGAACAGCTGACAGTAGAAAGCCCTGCCCCTCCTGCAGCAGCCCTGTCCAGGCACTGGCTACCACTTCCTCAGCCCTGAGGCCAGTCCTGACTCATTTGGCCACTGTTGCCAGCACTAATGCACAGGCTCGATAATAAAACTTATTGACCACAGTCAGGACCAACTACACAAAAATGTGCTCTCAGGGGCTGTGGGTGCATTTATCCTGACCTCTCCCATCATTCATGGTCCTCTCAGATTGCATAGCCATCTTCAGAATTAACAGATAAAATCCCTCCACCCCCATCACAATGCCATGGGTTCCTTCCTCAGCCTCAGTAATGTCATGGGGGGGTGGGCAGCTTCCAGATCCCATTAGCCTGAGGCCTATGCTCCCATGCACTCTCAGGAGCGTGGGCATGTCAGCCTTTATAGATCAAGGGCTCGCAAGTCTGGAGCAGACAAGAGCCACATGTTCTGGAAGCAATTAGGAACCTGCCACACTTGCTAGTAGCAGCTATAAAGCAGCATTTCTATGTCATTACAAAAAGTGACTAAGTTAGACCAGGAGGAAAAAGTGACAAAACATGTATATTTAAATTACCCCACAGTAAAGATGAACACTTTTTTCCCCAAAAGGAAAGGGCTAAGCTTAAGGACTCAATGCCTGGGCAGACACATATCTGTTACTTTAATTGTGAATTATTAATAAACTAGAGGCCTCGTGCATGAAATTCGTGCACTCAGGGAAGGGGGTCCCTCAGCCCGGCCTGTGTCTGCAGCACCAATGAACTGGTCTCTCCAAAGCAAAGCTGGGTCTGATGGGGCCATAGAGCTATATACTGACCTCCAGAGAGCATACTATTCACCCTGGGGAAACAAGTCAGAAAGATACAAATTGCAAAATGCTGATTTCAATGAATAAACTGCAAAGGAAAAAGAGAAGATGACAGAGGCAAGCTATGCATTAAGGTGTTTCACTGGGCCCAGCGCTCGGGCCTCACGGGCTCCTGAACTATAAATGCACAACACACTCCTGAAGTAGGATGACAGGGAGATGTCTGATGACAGCAGGAATTACTTTTTATTTTTTCTTAAGGTAAGCATGGTATGATGTTGGTTTTTATTTATTTATTTTTATTTTTCAAAATATATTGTCATTGATTTTATTTGATACTTGTTTACTGTTACTTTAGGTAAACAAATAATTTAATATTGCTTCATAATGATATATGATCCTATTTATCCAAATGTCCAAACTTTTGAAAAAATATATTTTTATTGATTTCAGAGAGAGGAAGGGAAAAGGAGAGAGGGATAGAAACATCAATGATGAGAGAGAATCATTGCTTGGCTGCCTCTTGCATGCCCCCTACTGGGAATTGAGCTCACAACCCAGGCATGTGCCCTGACATTCAACCTCTGGCCAGACATAATGTTGGTTTTTTAAAAACAGTTATCTTTTAAAGATACATACTGAAATATTTAAGAATAAAAAATAATGTCTATGTGTTTGCTTCAAAATTATTTACAAGGGTAAAAAAGCCATTTTGTTGCCCAGCAATAAGATAGGGAAGACAAATTAAAAGTATTTCTATCAAATATTATTTAAATTTAAATTTCCTGGATACATAGTAGCCAGTCTCTTCAGAATCTAGTTGAGCACTTGAGAGAGATGACAGAACAAATGTCCTCAACTGGACGTGCACACACACACACACACACAGCACACATGTGTACACACAAAAAACAACTCACAGCTCACATACAGTACACATGTACACACGTACACTGCATAAATTCACACACAGCGCATTTACAGCATAAACACGTATACCCACAGAGCACACATGTATACACATGTGTACCAACTTAGCACATGTACACATAGCCTATATGTGTGTCTATGAGTTCTCATGCGCACACATATGTATACATATGTGCATGGGTGGAAGCACAGGAAGGCTGTGCTATCTTCATGCTCAGAGCACAAGGACTCGGGATGGGCACTTTCTTTCTCAAATGGATGTCTCCATTGGGTGTCTCAGCAACTCCTATGGGTGAAAGGCAAGTACAAGCCAGGGAGAATCCTTTTCAGGCAGAAAAGAGAAGAGAGTCACCTGCAAGGGAGGATGGATCCCTTAAATGCATATTACCTGTCTGAGTTCCTGGGTGTCCTCCTCAGAAATGAGTGGCTCGCTCATCTGGAGCTGAAGCAGCCTGCCATCCTGGCTCCCCGAGGAGGCCTCTCGTTGCCTGTCGCAGTCCATGGGCCTGGATGCTGAAATGCAAGTCAAACAGCAGTGACATCTTCCACAATGCACACAATGCAGAAGTACTCACGACTTTACAAAGATCGTTCCTGCTCTCTGGGCCAATGGCATCTCTCCATCTGCAGTCTCTGTGCCTGCTGGTCCCCTCCCTGAGCCTCTGCTAAGCTGAGCAGCTGTGGGGCCTGCCCAAGTCTTGCCTTCCATTCCAGGCCAGGGTGGTTTCCTTAACCCATCCCGATCTCAGTGAAACACTGTAAATGCCTGGGGTGTGGTTCTATAACTGGCTCTAAGAAAGGTCACTACCCAGGAGTAATCGTTTTCTTTATGAGAGAAGACTATAGATTTAAACTTTAAGCTAGTAGTTGTTGAATCCTCAGAATCCCTAAGGATGCTCTGGGTCTGGAGAGCACTGGGATGGCCAGCTGACCGGCCAAACAAAGGTAAGTGTGGAGCCACAAGGGATGGAAAGTCTGAGAGTGCAAGGCCAGGCACTGCTCAGAATGGGTTTCCGCTCAAACAGCACCTGCCTGGCTAATGGCCCTGAGGAGCGGAAGGGCAGCCTGAATAGAGGCGGCTAATCAGGTGGCTCACAGCCCCTCCTGCGGTGTGCCACCTGTCCTTTATTTAAAGAACTGGCTCCACTTGTCCCCTGGCCCTGGGAACCCAGATAAGGGCATCACTTAGAGTCTGCTGCCTACTCTTCTGCACAGAACACCTCAGGTACACAGTGGTTACTGATCAGGATGCTGGAGAGGAGAGCAGGTGGCAGAAAGTGCACAGATCCGAGAACCAGCACCAGATGCTCCAAGCAGCCTTCTCTGCTTTAGTGGAATGGGGGCACAGCAGGGTAACAGGTGACCCCCACCTGCTTCCCAGCGCCCTAGTGGGGGTGAGCAGAGCCGCCTTTCATCAGAGTGGCGTGGAGCAGCTGCTAAGGAATGGAGTAGCAAGTCTGGCTCGGTAAGGCTCTCACTGGGCCTGAAGGGCTGAGGCCTAGCTGGTGGCCTTCAGGACACACCGACTGCGCAGGCCTCTCCTTGGTGGGAGAGGTCAGCCACCCCCAACTTGCACACAAAAATGTCCCCGCTATTCTTATATTTTTTATTTTTTTTTATTTTTTTAATTCTTACAAGAAGAGTGCCTGCCCTCAGGATAAAAGCAGGTTGAGAAGAGACAGAAAGCAGGTTTCTCAGGGTCCCGGGAAGAAAAGGGCCCAGGCCAAAGGAGGACACTCAGTAACTCAGACAGAAAGAAAAGGGCTCAGGCAACAGAGGAGGAAGTCTGCTGGAGGCAAGACCGCAGCCCTCCCCCAGCCCATCTCTAACTGTGCGAGCGAGAAGCGCATCCCGCACAGAGCCACCACACCTGGACCACATCGCTAGGTCTGGGGAAGTCGCACAAGACAAAACATTACTGCAAACCACGCACTCGAGTATCTGCTGGTTTAGGCCATTCTTTAGGAAAATGCTAGTTGGAGCCCTTCTAAACAATGTCATAATTTGTGTTCTACACTTGCTAAAGCCCCACCTACTCCAACATCCTGGGGGGCTTGTTCATCAGAATGGTCCCCATTGTTCCTATGTGGTCTAGTGTCCCTCACTGGGACGTCACATATCAAAAGTCCTTTTCTAAAGTGTCAGTCAGCAGCAGAGCACTGTCAGAGCTGGGTTGGAAGCTATCATGGCAGAACAGAGGGCGTATCCTCTGGTTATTATGAACCTAAAGCGTTTACCTGTGATGTCACAATGGCAAAGTGCATCTCATAGGCCTGTGCGAACAGCAGTTCTCTGGCCTCAGCATGCACCTGTGCTCAGTCTGTCCCCGACCCCATCCCCAGCATGCTGGCCCCACCGCCTCTCCACCCCACAGGTCCTGCACTTGGCCTTCCATCTGCAGCAATCCCAGTGTTATTCCATTCGCACACCTTTTAATGAACTTGCTTGGAACTGCCCTGCTGTTTATTTTTTCAGCATCACTCCAGGATCTCTGACTAGCTTCTGTGATCGGGACTGTGCTCTGGTGTCCATTTTACCACCTATAGCTATATTACTGACAGAGGCATACTCTTTTTGAATGTTTAGCCAAAGACTATTATCTAAACAACCAGAAAGCCAAAATGGAGGATATTTCTTCCTAGAACATACTAAGTCAGAGATGTTTTTCAGGACAAGCATGGGCTCAGTGGGGTCCCGCCCAGCACAAGGCTTTGGCCACCCCCAGTGCTGTGTTGACACTGGAGCTATTGACTCAGTTACCTCAATGCTTTGAAATATCTTCTGAGAAAAAATAATTTGGTTCAGTATAAGATGGTTTTTGACTCTAAAGTCATTAATTATCTCTTTTAACCAAACTAAGCACACATTGTTCCAGCTAAAAGGAAACTTACAGATGATTTCACTTCCCAGGAAGGAGGAGACATTGAGGAGGACCTGACTGGGCAGTAGGGGCGGCACCAGAGGGCAAGTGTGAGGCGAGATTTCCATGGGGTGAGTGAGCGGGTGGCCAGGTGTCTTTAATTAGGTGGTCAGGGAAGGGCTCTCTCAGAAGGTGACAGCCAGTAAACAACAAGGACAAAAATCAGTTCCAGAACCCTTAACGGTGCCAGGCATGGCCTGCTCTGCTGGAGAATAATCTGTGGGCTTCCTCCCACACCTGTCACTCCAGGACCATGAGACAACCTGGGAGCATGCTACGACTGCTAAGAACGATCAAGACCACCAAAGCAAGGAGAGTCTGAGCAACTGACACAGTCAAGAAGGGTACAAGGAGATGAAGGGTACAAGCCTAAATGTCACGTGGGATCCTGAAAGAGTAAAATGTAAAACAATCTGGATAAAGTATGGACTTTTAAGAATAGCAACGTATCTATATAGGGTCATTAGATATGACAATAAAGGACACCAATGTTGGGTGACAGGAATGTGGAAGACATGGGAACTCTGAACTACCCTTGTAATTTTTCTGCAAGTCTGATACTATTCTAAAATGTGAAAGGTTATTTAAAGATACTATGCAGAAAAATAGCACTTTGCAACTGCTCTTCCCTAAGGTGGAAACTGCCCACCTGTGTCATTCAGGGTCCTCACCGCTCCACACAACACATTACCTCAGAGGTCTCTGGAAAGTTCTACTCACCCAAGGCAAATACCTGTCTCCTGTTACTAGACTGCCACCTACTGGCCACATATTTTACCCAAATACCTCATCAAGGAGAGGAATCCATTTCTGAGATGTCAGTCACTGTTTCCACCTCCACTGTCTCTGCAGTTTCCAGTGTGGAACAGCAAAGACAGAGGTGATGGCAGACACAACACAGGCGACAGTGAGAAATTCGCCCTCATCACTAGGCTTGCAGAGGACACAGAAGTTTCTAGCAAGTCAGATGCCACCTCGCTTACTAAACTCAACATGCTGGCTCCTTCCAAACGCATCACTTCTCATTGCCTGAGCCTCTTCAAACCCACAGTTGTAAGGTGCATCTGCTCTGGGAGGTAGGGTGGTCTCGCAAAGGGAGAATGGAACTTCTTGTTCAGAGCAGAAGAAGACACTCTGCAGGGATCCCGCCCACCCGGAGGCTAAAGTTAGCACCGAGATGAAAACCCATCTGTCAGCTCATTCCACACACATTGGATCCATTACCGTGAGAGGCCAGGCCACAGCTATTCAATCCAACCCTGATCTAGGTGTTTATGGGAAGGTGTTTGTAGTGTGGAGGGAGGAGGCCTGTAATCACTGGCTTTAGGTAAGGAAGACTGTCCTAGGTGATGCGGTGGGCCTGATACAATCAGTTGAAAGGCTTTAAAAGCAGACCCATGGCTCCTGGAGGAGGAAGATGATGCTCCTATGTCAATAAGGGACACCAATGTCGGGTGCCCAAGAGGTCCAGCCTGCCCTTCCTGACGACAGGCCTGTGGAACTTGCACTCACCTATCTTCCTACAGTCTGCCTGTGACAGCAGAGGCCCTGGACTTGCTTCCTGCTCCTCTCCAGCCCTGTCTGCCACCTGGGCTCTAGCGTCAGAGCTTCCCATCCTACCTTTCGTGGGGTCCCTGACAGCAGGCCCAGAATTTTGTGCAGTGTGACCTCTGTGCTACACATAGCGCGCTCGCACTGCTATCTCATTCATTACATTCTGTGCCCTATTTTCCATCAGAAACCCCATGCACAACAACCCACAAAACACGGTGGAGCTCCCTGTGACAAGGAGGGTTGTGGGTTTTATTTAGCCTTTTTTCCAAGACTATAGGTGCCGAATACCATGCCTGGCACTGCAGGGTTCTCAGCGCTGGCGGAGCTGGTGGCTGATGGTTCTCTGTGTCTTGTCCCTACAGAGCCTCCTCCTTCACTGCTGAGGCCTCCCCCAGGGGAAAATGCAGTGGGTGACTCAGTCAAAACTTGGGGCATCAGAGCAACTGCCCAGCTGGGCTTGTGCGTGGCCTTGCCTGACGGACCCTCTGGTCAGGGTCTCGCATTGGCTGCCACAGCCCACCATTCTTGGCTTTTTTATGGGCCAGCTTCTGAGTCCTGCTTGAATGAGGGGCCAAAGAAAAACTGGAAATGCCAAGAAAGTAAGTTTTTAAATTAAGTTTTTACATTACCATTTCTAACATTTTGGCTCTTATGAGACCAGATCTAATATCAAGTATATATATTTTTGAAACTCGAAGTCATCTAGAATAACAAACATATTCATGTGTTAGGAAAATAGGTTACATATTAGAATTAAAATCAATCACTTAAGAGAAAGAAGAAAAGGAACCAGAATAGTAACAAATATCTCTCTTACTTTAACAGACATGCAGGAATCAAAGATACTTTAAAAAAAAAATGACATTAAATACAGAAGTAACATTATCTATAATTCTAGTATCAGAAAACATCAGAATATTTTATGACTTTATGATTTCTTAAATGGGGCTCAAAACAAACTTAAGTGGGGGAAAATGGTGGCTTCGACCACAGCAAAATTAAAGATTTCTGTAATGGAGGCTGGCAGCCTCTCAAATCAATAAGGAATGAAAATCTAGAATATATAAAGAACTCTTGCAAATCAGACAAAACACCAACAGCAACAACAACAAAACACACAGAACAGGCAATCCACAGAACAAACCTGTGGGATTAAAGAGCAAATAAGCATGAGATGCTCTGTCTCACAATCAATGAAATAAATTAAAATACCATCAAGATGCCACAGAATTATTCTAGAATGGCAAAACTGAGAGGTCAACTTATCCCATGCTAGGGAGGACACTGGGACCCAAGAACTTGGAGATGTGTGGACATGTAATATATCTGCATGTCCTGCCTCCCACACTCCTCCCCATTGGCCACGCCAGTTATACCCTTCGTACCCCAGAGACCTGCAAGAGAACACCTCAGAGAAAACAAGTTTTTCAGAATACCTCACGCATGCCCCATAAACTACCCAAAACTATGCCGCATAGTTTTCAAAGATTCTGATATCTGAACACACACATGGAAGGTGGTCTGGGAAGACCTCGATCAAATGTGAAGGAAAGCAGGAGTGAGGCTCAGTAAGTTACTGGCGGGAGGAATGGAGACTCAGCAAACCAGGTGCGGCTGCTGCTAGTTAAGACCCTGAAATGCTAATTCTCAAATCAAATAGAGGGAAGAGTGAAAACACTTAACTCAGACCTTCTCTTTGTTCTGAAAGGGTCATCGAAACCCTTTCTGATCTACTTGGAAACCTCTAAGCTTTCGAGTGTATGATAAACCAAAGTGATTTGAGATTCACAGTTGGCAAGTACTAAGGAAAATGGTCTAAAATTATTTTTATTTACAATGCACCATGTTAAGTACACACCACAGGCAGACTGAGATTTCCCCGGTCTGTGCACAGGCTGGGCTGATGGTCACTTACCTGCCTGCCAGACTGAGTAGCCCTTCTCTGCTGGGGAGGAGGTTCCCGTGCTTCTGAGCATCAAGGCATCTTCTAAAAACTCGATCTTCTTGCTGAACTGCATTTCCAAAATGGGGATAACTTGTGGCATCTTGGCAGATATCAAACGAAAAGCTATGTCTGGCTTCCCAATGAACCGCTGGCGGATGCTGACTTCATAATGTGTGTGAACTTTAATGTCATCTACATCCTCTCTTTCAAATCTGTGCAACAGCAAAGAATTTGGGCCATGGATTTCCAACCCAGAAACAAGGATGGTGAGCCTTCCTGGTTTAACGTGTGATTCTGTTCCCTGGGAAATAACAGCAGGAATTTTGATCACTATTCCTTCTTTTCCAAGAGCTTTAGTACTAGCCATGGAGGAGCCTGCCTTGGAGCTTGTGTCTGATGGCATCTTCCAAAGCTTGAAGTTAAAGGGCCACCAAGAAGGAGATTCCAGTTCTTTCAACAACCTAGAAGATAAAACAAAATACAAAAAACTAGGCCAAGCAATTTTTAATACTTTTTTAAACTGCTTTAGCCTTTATAAAGCACTTGTATCATTTTATAGTTTTATTTTCCACAAATACTCAATGAAACAGAGCAGAAATGGTTATCACCACGTCTTAAGAAACCTAAGCCAGTGGTCGGCAAACTGCGGCTCGAGAGCCATATGCGACTAATGAGTTTGCCGACCACTGACCTAGGCTAACAGCAGTAAGGTTATTTGTCTACAGTATGTATACAAAACTATTTGTAGTGGATACATACTTTTGACTCAAATATTACTCTTATCATACTTAACCCTAGGTAATTCTGACTCAAAATAAATCCTGTTCATAATCTCTCAAGAGGTAATAGAATTCTGGCAGAGATCTATACTGTCCAATATAGTAATAGGCACATATGGCTAACAGGTACCTGATATATAGCTAATGTAAGGTGGAACTGAATTTTAAACTTAAATTTAATGTAGTTCCTAGCTACCATATTGGACAGCACAACTCTAAAGTAACCACTAATAGATATTTCTAAAAAGTCAATAAAAGAGGAAAAAAATAAAAGCAGGATGGGGAAAGCAAAGAAACAAGGATCAAATAAAACAAAAGAATAAGATGGTGGAATTAAACACAACCATATTAGCAATCATCCTACCTAATAAAAGAGTAATATGCAAATTAACAATCACTCCACTATGCCCACCAGCCCATCAGAGTGAGTATGCAAATTAACCCCAACCAAGATGGCTCCCACCACAGAGAGTAGGAGGGAGGCTTGGGTTTCCCTGGCAATGGAGAAAGCCAAGCTTTCCACACATCCTGGCCCATCCAGGCCTCTACTTAAGGGTACAAAGTTTCAATTATAGAAAATAAATCCCAAGAAAAATGGTGGCAGCCACAGAGCTGAAAAGAGCAGGAGGCTAGAGTTGCCCCCTGTGATGGAGGAAGCCAAGCTTTCCACCTGCCTTGGCCTGCCTAGGCCTCCACTGCAGGCTACAAAGTTTCAATTATAGAAGGTAAATAAATTCCAAAAGAAACAGTTGCCACCAAAGTCTTGGCTTTGCTTCAGGCTCCAAAGTTTCAATTGTAGAAGATAAATATATCCCAGATACCAGGGCCTCCGCTTGGGTTGCTGGGGGCCTGCAAACCACCAGAGGCCCCTCACCCAGGCCACCCCACACCCCAAGGAAACCCCCACCCTGATCTGGGCAAACCAGCTGGCCCCAACCCATGCTCCAGAAAAGAGTAATATGCAGATTGACCATCACTCCAACACACAAGATGGCTGCTCCCATGTGGTCAAAGATCCTGCCCCCATGTGGACACAAGATGTCCAACACAAGATGGCCAGCAGGGGAAGGCAGTCGGGGGAGACCAGGCCTGCAAGGGAGGGCAGTTGGGGGCAATCAAGTCTGCAGGAAAGAGGGGTGACCAGGCTGGCAGAGGAGGGAAGTTGGGGGCAAAGAGGCTAGCAGGGGGGCAGTCAGACATCAATCAGGCTGCCAGGGCAGTGGTTAGGGGGTGATCAGGCTGGCAGGCAGAAGTGCTTGGGCACCATCAGGAAGGCAGGCCAGCAAGCAGTTGGGAGCCAGCAGTCCTGGATTGGAGAGGTTGCACACTGGACTGAGGGATACATACCCCACTCCCGTACACGAATTTCGTGCACCGGGCCTCTAGTATTACATAAGAAGACTAAATTCTTTAATTAAAAGGCAGATTATCAGCTTGAAAAAGAAACAAGACTCAACTATATCTTGTTTACAAGAGACACTGTGAAATGTGATGACACAGATACATCAAAAGCAAAGGGATTGGGAAAAAAGATATATCACACTATAAGTAAACTTTAAAACAAGCAGTGTACCAGGAATAAAGAGGCATTGTGCATAATAAGAGGGTTGAACCAAATGAAAGAATTAATATACTAAATATGTATGTATCTAATAACATTATTTTAAAATTCATTAAGCAAAAATTGGGCCAGGACCGGTTTGGCTCAGCGGTAGAGCATCGGCTTGCGGACTGAAGGGTCCCGGGTTCGATTCCAGTCAAGGGCATGTACCGTGGTTGCGGGCACATCCCCAGTAGGGGGTGTACAAGAGGCAGCTAATCGATGATTCTCTCTCATCGATGATTCTAACTCTCTATCTCTCTCTCCTCCTCTCTGTGAAAAATCAATAAAATATATTAAAAAAAAAAAATTGGTATTATAGGCCGAAACTGGTTTGGCTCAGTGGATAGTGTCGGCCTGTGGACTGAAAGGTCCCAAGTTGGATTCTGGTCAGGGGCATGTGCCTTGGTTGCGGGGGTGTGCAGGAAGCAACTGGTTGATGTTTCTCTCTCATTGATGAATTTAGCTCTCTATCCCTCTCCCTTCCTCTCTGTAAAAAAATCAATTAAAAATATTTTTAAAAATTGGTATTATAAAAGAAAAAATAGATAATCACAGCTATAGAGTTCAACAAATTTTTCTCTATGATTGATCCAGGAAGAAAACAAAAATAATTAGTAAGAATATAAAAATTTTGAGCAACACTATTTAACCAACCCAACTGATTGGTATTCATAGGAACAATATCAACTGCTGAATCATTGTTTTCAAGTGTATTTAGAACATAAAACAAACAAACAAAAAAAGAGTGCCCTGGCTAGTACACTCAGTGGTTAGAGCATAGGCACATGCATCAAAGGGTCTCAGTTTGATTTCTGTCAATGGCCATACCTGGGTTATAAGTTCAATCCCTGCCCCAGTCCAGGCGTGTGTGGGAGATAAGCAATGTATGTGTCTCTCTCACATTGATGTTCCCCACTTCTTCATCATGCTCCCTCCCTTCCACTCTCTAAAAATCAATAGGAAAGATCCTTGGGTGAGCATTAACAAAAAACAAAAATAAAAACAAGAGTATAACAAGCCACAATAAATATCAAGTATTGTAATCATACATAGTATATATCCTCTGTCCCCAGAGAAATAACACTAAAAGTCAGTATCGAAAAGCCAATTACACCCTAGCTGGTTTGGCTCAATGGAGAGAGCATCAGCCTATCGACTCTGAAGAGTCCCGGATTCAGGCTTGATCCCCAGTGGGGGGCAGGCAGAGGGCAGCCAGTCAATGGTTCTCTCTCATCATTCTATCTCTCCTTCTTCCCTCCTTTCTGAAACCAAGAAGAAAAAAAATTAAAAGATTAAAAAAATAAAAGCCTACATATTTCACAGACCCAGAAAGAACTCTCCAAAAATTCATCTGTAATTTTAAAAAAAAGACCCTGAATAACATCAGTAGGTTATTATTTAGAATATATACTTATAATATCTGTAAACAAGATATAGTTGAGTCTTGTTTCTTTTTTAAGCTGGTAAAGAAGAACAAAGTAGGTGGGATCTCAATACCAGATTTCAAGCTGTATTACAAAGCCACTGTTCTCAAAACAGCCTGGTACTGGCGCAAGAACAGACATAAATCTATAGAACAGAACAAAGAGCCCAGATATTGACCCAAACCACTATGCTCAAATAATATTTGACAAAGGAGGCATGAACATACAATGGAGTCAAGAAAGTCTCTTCAATGTATGGTGTTGGGAAAATTGGATAGATACATGCAAAAAAAAAAGAAACTAGACCACCAACTTACACCATACACAAAAATATACTCAAAATAGATAAAGGACTTAAATATAAGACTGGAAACTAAAGAGAAAATAAACAAATGGGACTACAGCAAAATAAAAAACTTTTGCACAGCAAAAGAAACCATCAACAAAACAACAAGAAAGCCCACTGTGTGGGAGATCATATTTGTAGATGTTATCACTGATAAAGGTTTAATCTCCAACATCTACAGGGAAATTATACAACTTAATAAAAGGAAGATAAATGATCCAATTTAAAAAATGGGCCAGGACCGGTTTGGCTCAGTGGATAGAGAGTCGGCCTGCAGACTAAAAGGTCCCAGGTTCGATTCCGGTCAAGGGCATGTACCTGAGTTGCGGGCACATCCCCAGTAGGGGGTGTGCAAGAGGCAGCTGATCGATGATTCTCTCTCATCGATGTTTCTAACTATCTATCCCCCTCTCTTCCTCTCTGTGAAAAATCAATAAAATATATTTAATAAAATAAAATAAAAATGGGCAATGGACCTAAATTGAATCTTTTCTAAAGAAGACAGAAAAAAGGCCAAGAGACGTAGGAAAACATGCTCAAAGTCACTAATTATCCGAGAGATGCAAATCAGAATAACAATGCGGTGCTATCTCACACTTATCAGAATGGCAATCATCAACAAATCAACAAATGACAAGTGCTGGTGAGGATGCAGAGAAAAAGGAATCCTCATGCACTGCTGATGGGAATGCAGGCTGGTGCAGCCAATGTGGAGAACAGTGTGGAGTTTCCTCAAAAAACTAAAAATAGAACTCCCATTTGACCCAATAATCCCACTTCTAGGAATATATTCCAAGAAACTAGAAACACCAATCAGAAAGGATATATGCACCCCTATGTTCATAGCAGCAAAATTCACTATAGCTAAGATTTGGAAACAGCCCAAATGCCCATCAGCAGATGAGTGGATTAGAAAACTATGGTACATCTATACAATGGAATATTATGCTGCAGTAAAAAAGAAGGAATTCTTATTATTTGCAGCAGCATGGATGGACCTGGAGAGCATTATGTTAAGTGAAATAAGCCAGGCAATGAAAGAAAAATACCACATAATCTCACTCTTTTATGGAAAATAAAGTACATTATAGCCTGATGAACCAAAAGATAAATACAGAGGCAATAAAGTATGGAAAATTCCTAGTTCAATTCCCAGTTCAATTCCCAGTCAGGGCACATGCCCGGTGGCAGGCTCAGTTTCCCAGTGTGGGACATGCAGGAGGCAGGTGATCAATGATTCTCTCTCATTATTGATGTTTCTATCTTTCTATCCCTCTCCCTTCTTCTCTGAAATCAGCAAAAATATATT